GGAAGGAAGGAAGGCAGGAGCCCCGCGGATACAATGTAGCCCAAGCGCCGCCGAGCCTTCCCAAGGCGGCCCCGCCCCTCAGGAGGAGGGGCCTCCGGCTCTGGCCACGCCCACCGGATGCAAGGTGGATACAGTTGGGAAAGGGGAGGGGCAAGTGCGGAGCCTCCGGGGATGACTTACTACCATCAGTCATCATCATCATCATCATCATCACTGTTCATTATTATTATTGTTATCACTACTCATTATTAATGTTACTATTCATTATTATTATTATCATCACTAATTATTATTGTTACTATTCATTATTATTATCACTACTCATTATTATTGTTACTATTCATTATTATTATTATTATTATCATTACTCATTATTATTATTAGTATTGGTATCATCATCATCATCATGATTACTATTCACTATTATTGTTGTTACTATTCATTATTATTATTATCATTATCATTAGTGCTCATTGTTATTGTTACTATTCATTACTATTATCATCATCATCATAATCATTACTATTCATTATTATTGTTACTTATTATTATTATTATTATTATTATTATTATTATTATTATTAAGAGTGACCAGGGGGCACAATGCACCCACCATGCTAATCTGTTGGAAAAACCTTTGCCTAGCAACCATGTGCAATTGGGCATCGCGCGAGCCTAGGTGGAATCAATTCAATATAATTAACTTGAGCTTCATTGAACACCCTTTACCCAAGCCACCTGGCATGTGCCCCGTGCAATTCAAAACAAGGTTGTTTCAAAAGTCGACTGACTTTAGAATTAGAGTCTTTTCATTTTGCAAAATATCCACACTGTTTCCATTGCAGAAAACCAAATCCCACGTGTCACCGATCTTGGTGGGATCCAAAGAGTGGAAAGAGGTTGTTCTCCTCCTCTGCAGCCATCTGTCGCTACACAATGTGTGGAGAGGAGTTGCGACTGATAACACAACAGAAGGAGGACTCCAGGCTAAGCCAAGGAAACAGCTTGCTTGCGGAGCTGAGAAGCCAAGATTGCTCGGAAATCACAGCTGGGGCTTGGATTCGAGAGAAGGCATGCCAATGAAACCGGCTGGCACTGTACCCCCATGCCCTAACATGAGCCAGAGTCCTCTTCTTGTTGTTGTTGAATGCCTTTAACTCATTTCCAACTCACGGTGACCCTAAGACAAGCCTATCCTGGGGTTTTCTTGGCAAGTTTCTTCAGAAAAGGTTTGCCATTGCCATGCTCTAAGGCTGAGAGAGTGTGACTTGCCCAAAGTCGCCCAGGACATTTCATGGCCAAGCAGGGAATCAAAGAATCATAGTCCAACACTTCAAACCACAGTGCCAGGCTGGTGCGACTCATAAATTGCAATTTTTGTATATCCTTGCCAATGTTTGTGACTGGGGTTGCATCCGCACTGAAAAAATAATCCAGTTTGGCAACACTTTAACTGGCATGGCTCAATGCTATGGCATTCTAGAAACTGTACTTTGTTTCAGCACCAGAGCTCTCAAAGAGGGAAGTCTAGATATCTTACATTAAAATCATGGCTCAATGCTATCCAATCCTGGGAACTTCAGTTTTGTGAGATATTCAGGCTTCCCTCTCTGAAAGCTGCATCCCTTTAAAACTA